GTACAGTCAGCTGCATAAATATCTTAGTCCGGTTGCGCAGCGATCCGAAGTGAGTCTTGCTAACTGTCGTCCGCGACTCCCGCCGCGGGGTAATTAAAAAATATAGTAGGTTATATGTTCTTATTTCATCGAGATCCGTTCAGCCGTTCTGGAATACGTGTTCTTAGCGAATACGTGCATAAATATTTTTGAAACCGACCTGTACAAGTTTCTAAAGAATTATAAATTTATAAATATTCAAGCAGATGACTGTACATATTTATAGGAAAAATAATAACCATATTATGGTATAGAAATTATTTATTGTAAATATGAAATGGATACAATAAATTTTGTATCAGTATAAAACTTTGCATGGATATAATTTTCCATTCACAAGTTTTTTTCCTTGATTAGTCCCATTATTTAAATGAAAACGAGTTTTCAGAGTCTATCAAAGTTATTCTTAGTCGTAGCTTTTTGTAATCCTATTGTTAATTATCTATTAATTACTATATTTATCTATATCACAATAGATCCATGGTGCAACAGTTTCCAGTTTTTTTCTGTTTATTTTTTCTTGTAATAAATAATTTAATCTGTGTCGATATCTGGCAACTATCTTCTTCTTCTAGTGCCTCTTCAGTCTTGAAGGTTGGCCGCTAACTTCAACTATATTGGCACCTATATTTACGTTCAAATAGCTCTAAAAATGTGTCGCCCGCTGTCTACTCTAAGTGTTCTTCCTGACTATGTTATACATCTATGTCAAATTTCAGCGTGATCTATGCAGCCGTTCTGGAGATACCTTCTAACAACAACATGTATAATTAAAATTGTGCTGTAAATATTGTCTGGCGGCCATTTTGTTCTAATTCATAATGGCGCCCGTGATCTGCGATTTAAGCGCGCCATTTCATATTTGAAGGAATCAAAATAAATGCATAAATGGTTTTTTTGTTGTTAAATTCTTCTTCGTCGTTAAAGTCTTGTCAGACTGGTCTTGGTCATCACGTATCAGTGACCCGCTTTACCAGGCGCCGCCACTCCTCCCTAGTCGCTGCCTTTTTTGTACATTGGTGCAGGGGGACATCCACAGCCGCTCTGATTTGGTCGGTCCACCTCATAGGCGATCTTCCTCGTGGTCTGTTGCCCTCAACTTTCCCCTGCACCACTAAGCGCTCGATGGAGTCGTCATCACGTCTACAGACGTGACTAAAAAAAGTGAGTATGCGAACCGGAACAATGCATGACAGACGCTGCTTGATGCCGAGTTCTTCGAGGATTGACTTGTTTGTCCGGAATGCGGTCCAAGGTATTTTCAGCATTCTTCTCCAGCACCACATCTCGAGCGACTTGACTTGTTGTTATATAACGACACTAAATAGTTGAACTAATGTAAACTAACCTACTGGCACCGTATTACTTCGTATTACACAACAATGCCTATGTTTTTAGAGTATTAAGTACTTGATTTGCATTTTTGCATAATCTAACACATTCTGTTTATCATTCTGCCGACGACGTTGTGACTGTGGCGAGGTGATGTAAGAGTGGAACCGCTTTAGGCAATTATTTCATGTTTGAATCTAGTTGTATTTGTACAAGGCTGACAACGAGTTTTAAAGTTTAATTTAGGTTCGAAGGAATAAATTTTAAAGTCCATTGAATACTGTAATGTAGTTTTTTTTTTACTTTTTTAAAGGCTGCTTTTGTTTAAATTATGCTCGTATATGTTGAAACTATAGATTTTGTTTCGGAATGCACTTTAATTTATCTTAAGGTCGCGCACACGAAAGGAGACCCTTTACATGCTACTACTACTATAAAGTTTTTTTAAGTATATACCTATAGTTTTTTTATGTGACAAAGACGTCCTATAACAAAACAATGAGGACTGTATGTCTTAAATTTGCGTACAAACAGAATTCAAACAATTCATTGCTCGAACAATCGATATTGTATAGAATTTTCGATACATATCAAATTAAAACTGCGCCATAAATATACTGTGACAATATGTCGCCCGGTAAAAGAGGCGATGTTCGCTTAATTCTGACAGCTTCGGATCAGCTATGAACCGGATCAGAAGTTCAGATCTCATGTAAATTATTGAGCTGAGGTTCAACAACTAAATTGGCAGCTCACTCGAGCAGCAATATGCCTGGTGACTCGCAGTTCGCAGCTTGAAATGATAATAACTCCTGCCTGCGCCTGCGCTGATAGGCTTCATATATGTAAACCGTGATTTGCAGGTCATAACATTTACTTGAGTGACTCATGTCTAGTCCGTGGCACGTTTTTGACATTGAGAGAGGGGGGAGGGGTCTAACGAGCTATTGTAATTTAGTTTCATTTATGCTTACCAAGGTCAGATAATTTTGTTGGTTGCAAATAGCATTGCCAGGCGTCCGGCGCGGCGTCCGTAGATGTCCGGCCAAAATAAACGGTGTCCAGGTTGTTCTTTTGTTAGGCTTTTACATTTCGCAAACGAGAGTGTTCTCCATAGAGTGTCCGCCTTTCTACCCAAATGTCTGGTCAAATTCAGTCTGTCCGGCTATTAGGTTTGACCTGGCGACCCTAGTAGGAGATGATTCACTATTAATAAGTCCGTCATCTTAAGTCAATACTATTTGTTACTGTTTCCTTTGCGGAAATGTAAAGTCGTAGGTCATTTGAAAATAATCTAATTATTTATTCAATTGCAATATAATTTGAATAATTTTATTGTACAGTATGCAGCATAGCAATTGATACCTAATCATAATGACTTAAGGTATACTTTTATCTGTCACATTTATCCGATATGAAGTTAGTGGTGGCCTGTTTAACATGCTTGGTCGGTGTATGTTGAATTGTTATAATTACTTTTGTTTAATTTTATATCTTAATCTTATTGTGTTAAGACTGTTTTTGTATTGAAGTCGAGAAACAATAGTTAATGCGTACAATGCGTTTGATATCCGTACTGAATCGTATGTTTGTAGAATTTTACTTATAATAGTTTCATACATGGGCAAGTACAGTATGATTACAGTTCTGTTTCAGATTAAATAATAGCAATATTACACTATCCTACTGTATTTTTCTGTTCCTCCCTCCTGTGAAACTAATATTATGTCACTGAGCATATAGCTAAGAGTGGGCTATGTTTGTGATAAAAAAAAAAAAACATTTGCTCGATATAATATCGTCTTGACTTTACACTTATTTAACGACACATAGAAGTTAAAAAAAAAATAGAATTGTAGAAGCTACTTTTGTTTTTAAAATTAAATATATGTGGTATTAATGTGTACAAAGGGTCTTAGTATAGGTCCAGTTCACGGCTTTGGAATGCGAAGTGTTTTATTTTTCGATTTAATTATCGAGAATAATAACTGCATTTTGTCGGCGATTTTATTGCATTTTACGAGCGATTTTTATTGCAAATGTCATTAAATTTATTACCAAATTCCTGTTTCGGATTGTATAAAACGTACCTCTGATTGACGCTAAATTGGAACAAGGTTTATCGTAAATTTGAACACCCTGTACTAATATTTTGTATCCTGCTCGTTCTCTTGGAAAAGAACAGAGATGACAATGTTTCTATACAGGTTTTATGACATTGGGAACACATAGTAAAAGGGGCTACAACTCTGATGAATAAAGTCACATCTTGAGATCCCATATGAGATGTAACTCTTTTTATCGGTGTTTTCGCCCTAAGCAAATGAGTTTTTAAGTTTTTAAGTACAAAAAAAAATCAAGCAAAAACCTATGAGATATTTTAATAATTATTCGAACAATGGATGTAATTAGTATTAGTGCCATCCCTTTCTTTCTCTTTGAAAAGAACAGAGACAAAAATATTTTTGCACTGTGCGCAATGAATACCCATGGTTACGTCAATAAAAACTGAATAGGTTATCCAAGATAAAAGATCTAATAAAAACAATTCTATAAATGGATATTACGTCTTAATTTGACTTAAACTTAAATAACAAGCGTATTTAACTTAAGCTGTTAGGAAGAAAACCCGAAAATGTGGCAGTGTATTGATCCAGCACTAGCCTTACTAAAATGTCGACGTTTGTGTCCCCTCACTATTCTGACACTTACTTTGTAATGAAAGCGCACCATTCGCGCCAAAGTACGTCTCAAAATTCGTAATAATTTTATACTTTTTTATAATACTGACAAGACGGTTACAGTTAATCGTGTGTATGTTAGTAAGTAGATTTATACAATTCCAATAAATATAAGGCGTCGTGTATACGATAAAATTTAACTGTTGATCAAATTATTTGATAGCATGAACCTCTTTTGAAATTTTACAAACTTTGTCAAATGTGTTTATAAGTCTATCGGACGCTTTAAAACGCCAAATAAACAGTATTCGTATTGACTTAGTCATTATTCACTGAGTTATTAATGTAAATATAAATACAATAATTAAGCTGATAGAAAGGCATGTGACCTTGAACGGGGACACACCTGAACACATACGACCTCGCCATAGCTACGGTCGGCTAATTGAATCTTGTCTACTAGCAGTTGCGTGCCACTTCGACGAATGGAATTAAAAACAATGTAACAAATATATCCTGTCACTCGGTGGTAATGTAGGTTCAACTGTGAAATATTTTTTTTAATCTGTTCTGTAGTTTCGGGACCTATTCAACGCAATCATTTCCTCTTTATAGTATTAAGTATCTAGATTTCATATTAGGGTCTTTGAGTGTCATTTTAGTCCACTACTCGATACCTAGACTTATTTTCTAACTTAGAATCTGACCGTAGTGTACATTAATTATGAGAATTACTCTAGTAATCACCCTTAGTGAACAATTAATTTTAACAGACTGTTAGTCACCAATACCATATTAATTTAAAGACTTTACGTACGTAAACCTTACGATTATTTTTGGTTTTATTAACGAAAAATCTTTGAATTCTAAAAGGTATAATAATTTTTAGTTCCAATCCAATGTTCAAAATAGAGAAACAATTTCTAATCCTTTTTTTGTCTATTCCAGGTTCAAAATGAGAGGCTTCAAAAGCCTTATACTCCTGCAGCTGGTCTACATCACCAGTTGTATGGACCAGCTGCACATCGTGTACGAGTGGACACAACTTGACTTCCAATTCCCGACCCTGGACGACAGGCACCAGGCCATCAGCAACGGGACATTTATACCTGAGAACAACATGCCCATGGGTGTTGAAGTGTACGGTGATAGATTGTTTATCACCGTGCCAAGATGGAGGAATGGGGTTCCAGCTAGTTTGACGTATATTAATATAAAAGGTACAGACAAATTTGATTCCCATTTACGTTAAAAGGCAGACATTTTAATTAGCAAGTTGAAATGGGTAGGATCCAATCCGGTAACAATAAAGAAGTAACAGCCCAAGCCGAGGCTCCTGAGGGAGCCCTCAAGTCTTGTTGCTCTTAAACGAGGTTCAGGCTAAGCGCCATGTGCGCTCGGCCACCTCAAGCCCGGTGAAGCTGTAAATGCCTCTTCAAAGCAAACAGTGATTTCTCAGTCACAAAAAAAATGGGATATAGGTCCTTGACTGTACGTTTTGGGTTTGGGTAATATTTTTAATTATGTATGATGAATATTATTATCATGATGACTTTTTGTTACCTATATAACTAGACCATTTTTGTTACTCGATTTATATTCTTAAAAATACTCCAAGATCTTTCTTGCTAATTGTAGCATTCGTTGTGCATATTTGGCTCGTTCACGTACCGACACGTGCTGCCGGTCCAAAGGTCCAATCGACTGACGTCCCCTCTCTCCGGCATGTACTTATGATGTGTACGCTCGAGACAAACAACACTACATTTATACATACACTACAGTAACATTAAAAAAGCGAATGTTTGGATGGATGCGTAGATAGTTGAATAGAACATAGACTGGAAGAACACATAGGCTACTAATTACTAATTAACATTTTTTAATCCCGCACGGACGGAGTCGCAAGCGACAACTATAGCACTGAAACTATCGCAAGAAATAGAATGGAGGTTATTCCTTCAATCACGCGAGAAAACACTTGTGATACAAATCATTTTTGTTCCACGAATTTATATTGCCTAGGTTATACTTCCGGATTTTTTTTCTTAATTGCTACCATTCTCCTGAATAACTAGAAGTAACAATTGAATAAAACTTAATTGTTCAATGACACGTTATAAGAAAAACAACGAAGTATAAGAATAGGTATTTATTAAAAGACTAGCTGTCGCCCGCGACTCTATCAGCGCGGAATTTAAAAAAACTTAATTAGTAGCCTATACGTTCCTTCAGACTACGGTCTAAATCTATACCAAGCTTCAGCGATATGCAACCGTTCTGGAGATACCTTCAAACAAATAACAGTGGCAGAGCCCGCTTTAACATCGCACGAATTGGCCTGGCTCGCCCGGTGAAATACCACGGCCACACAGAAGACAGGCGTGAAGTGGAAGCAATTCCGCGTTTCGTCTGATGAGTGTGCGTCCCGGAGGCCTAATGTAGTCCTCTTTCCTTTCCTTTCCTGAGAGGATGCATGGAAATGTTTTCTTTCTGTGCATCCTCTCCTCCGTCGATTAAAGGTAGGTAACGCATATGCTATTGCGTATGTCTATGGGCAACGGTCACTTCGCTATTTCAGGTGGCCGCTCGCTCGTTTGCCACCTTATGATATAAAAAAAATATCCATCCATCCAAACATTCGCATTTATAATAGTAATATGATATCAATGAATGTTATAATATCGTTATTTTATTACTATTAATCGTAAAGAAAAGCAAAGTGAAAATAGATTAAGTATTCCTAAACAACATTGCTAAGACTGAGATGGAAACAGCGTTATAAATTCAGTATCGTTACTAAACAGGTTAGACTCTGTTTATTAATTCACTTCTGTAAATATTAGTGTTAGGTGCATTGGTTTTCTAATTTTAGTTTTTCGATTTCATGGAGAAACATACCTCGCGGGCCTCTTCACGTCTACAAATGACTGCGTTATTTTGTAACTAAGTTAATTTTAATCTACATAATTAATTATTGATTAATTTCATTAATCATTAATAATTATTTCAGATAATTCAACGGTATCACCTAAACTTATCCCGTATCCCAACTGGGGGGCGCATGTACCTGGACCCGACGGCAAACCGGAGATTGTCTCTCCTTTCAGAGTGCGCGCTGACAAATGTAACAGACTATGGGTTGTCGACAATGGAAAGATAAATAATCTAGGCAATAATACAGTTAAATATCCACCAGCGATTTTAATTTATGATTTAACAACAGATACGTTACTACGAAAATATGTAATACCAAAAGACCAAGTCAAAGAAGATTCTGGTTTCGCGAACATAGCTGTTGAAGACAGAGATTGCGAGGACACATATGCATATGCAGGTGATGTTGGCAAAGCTGGTATTGTGGTCTACTCATGGGCAAAGAACGATTCTTGGAGGATATCCCATCATTTCTTCCATCCAGATCCTTTAGCGTGTGATTTCAGTGTCAAAGGTTACAACTTCAGTTGGACTGACGCCATCTTTGGTTTAGGTCTTTCCGGACCTAATGCGGATAATTACAGCACGTTATATTTCCATCCGATGGCTAGTTACAATGAGTTTGCTGTATCAACAGAATATTTAAGGAATCAATCGTTGGCTGAAAGCAATTTTGATGCGTTCAAACTCTTAGGTAGTAGGGGACCTAACGCTCAATCAAGTGTATCCTTCGTTGATCCGAAAACTGGTGTATTATTTTATTCCTTGGTGAATTTGAATGCTGTCGCTTGCTGGAGGACGACTAACAAGAATTATAATATGAAAAATCAAGGAAGAATTTATATGAATGATGAGACAATGATTTATCCAAGTGATATCAAAGTGGATTACAATGATAACCTTTGGATACTGTCGAATAGGATGCCTATTTGGATGTATGGACAATTGGATCCAAATGAAGTTAATTTTAGAGTGTTTTTCGCTCATGTGGTCGACGCAATAAGTCACACTGCCTGTGATATAACACCTAGATCTGATATACTTGATAAATTTGTTAATAAAATTAAAAATGTAACGAATAAAATTGCAGCAAAAGTGAATCCTAATTCAGCAGCAACGATTTCACCATTTTCATTACTAACTACTCTGGCTGCAAGTTGGATTTTTGCTTTTGTGATTTTTGTTTAATTTAAATATTATTTTAACATGGTATTGTTAAATTGATGTTTTCGTATGATATATATTTTAATTATCGTTTTACAAAATATACATAAATAAAAAATAAAGTATTGAAAACGACATTTAAATAAGAAAATTTAAAAATCGTCTTTTCATTGTAAAATATATATGTAATTCAAACGAGATAGTACTAAATATTAATTTGCCTTAAAAATATTTACATGCGTTTTGTTCCGTAATATTATATGGTTATTTAAAATTAAAATGTGAACATTTGCTTTTAAGGTTATATTTATAAACTCGTACGTTTTAAGAGTTGTTTCTTATCATAAGTTAATGTATTTTATGAGATAAATAATATTAAAAAAACAAATCACAGATAAAATTATAATTTGTTAAAACTGTCAGCTGTTCATTACCAAGGGCGTTCCGATATTTTGCCCAACAAAGAAGTAATTTTATACATTACTAGCTGTCGCCCGCGACTCCGTCCGCGCGGAATTAAAAATAGATGTTGGTCGATTCTCAGACCTACTCAATATGCTCACAAAATTTCATGAGAATCGGTCAATCAGTTTCGGAGGAGTATGGAAACGAAAATTGTGACACGAGAATCTTAAAGATTTTTTTTATTTCACGAAATCTTATTTTGTCCGATATAGCAACGATTTTTTATATATATATATACGTTACCGTTCTATTTATTGTGATGATAAAATTAAGTATATAGGATAGACTGTACATACTAAAAGTTTGTGTCTTAAAATTCTAGAATAGCGTGCGCAAAATAGCATAGCTATTTTTTGTAAATATGCTGTTATAATGGCGATATTAAATGCTTTAAGCTATATATGTCTTTTAATTCACAAATCATACGTCGATGCACTATTTTATGAGTATAAATTATTTTTAGTTAAGCTAAGTTTACAAATTAGAATTATTTTGACTCTGTTTTAAAAAGCGCCCTCTTTTGACAACATTTGATACTTGGAGAATTAAAGACTACTATTTTGTCATAGATGGCGTTATACATTTCGTAAAAAATAAAAAGATTATTAGTAGCGCAAATAGATGGCGTTTGTTTATGTCTTGTTAATTTAACTCAAAAATTTAAGAGGTAAAAAAAAAATCAGTTTCCAAAGAATGCAACCAAATGTGTTAACATATATGATATTGTTAAGTACTCTAAGTTAAGTGAGTAAGTAAGAGAGATAAGTTGAAATATGACAATTTATTAATTAGATGAGTAGATCCCCCACTAAACCTTATCGTCAAATATACGATACCCAATTTATGATGTAATAAGGGGTAAACAAAATTTTATGTTCCAATACTACACAAGCAATTTGGTTTTACCTGCATATATCCATAATTTATATGTCCAAAATGTACATTTATTTTCGAAAGTACGATTAGGCAAATTGAACAGATACTTCAATAATTACTATGAAAGAAAGTCCACTAAAAGTTAGGTTAAGTATAGGTATTCAAAATGATTTTTAAAAAAGGTTGACATTACATTAATTATGTTTTCGATTAGACGTTTTTTTTTAATTTTATTCTTATTATTCGTGTTTAAGTTTGCAAATATATATTTATTTATTTTTGAAAGTGGACGTAGCTTTTAGAAAATTTTATAGATGAGATACAGACAGACATATACAGATTTTTTTTAATAAATGCTGATGATATCATGTGAATACTATCTTTGAATAAAGCATTTATGTTTTGCTTCTGGTGGATACCAAACGGAGCTACGATGGGATAAAATAAAACATACAAAATATTTTACAAAAATGACAATAATTATTGACGAAGAGGTAAGTTTTTTTGCTTTTGCCACATCACAGCGGTACCCAGTCTCACATCATTCAAAAATAGATTAAAATCAGTGCTTGTCGAGAGGGCTCTGTATACATACGAAGATTTTTTTCAATGAATATTTTTTTTTGTAAATCGCTCTTATTGTAGTATTGTTTTGTTTTGACTTTTTAAATGTCTTATTAGAACACATATGAAGATACCTAAGGATATGTCTTTTCATTACCACCACGAGTTTGGTTTGCATAGAGAGCGTCGGTGGCTCAGTGGTCAAGCACTTGACTTGCAATCTGCAGGTCCTGGGTTCGAATCCAGCCATGTACCAATGTGTTTTTCGATTTACATATGTACATTTATCCGACGTTCTTACGGTGAAGGAAAACATCGTGATGCAACCTGCACATATCTGAGAAGAAATTCAAAGATATGATTGAAGTCAACCAACCCGCACTTGTCCAGCGTGGTTGTCTATGGCCTAATCACCCTTAACTTAGGGTAGGCTCCGAGCCCCTCGGTGGGGACGTATAGTGAGCTGATGATGAGTTAAGACCAAATCTTTAATTATTTTAACTTTAATCCTTAAACGTACAATAAAGGTATTTATATCTTTCTAAAGGCGGAAAAAGAATTGCGAACGTTTAAGGAGAAATGCACAAGATGTCTCCGTGGTCCCAATTTACTGAAGACTTTGGTTGTTGTTGGCTGCATTATAATAGTGGTGCAACAGGTGAGAAGACTAATAAAGAATACAGTCTTTCTCCTTCCCATCTTGCCCTTTTAGAACAGCGTGGGAAGGGGAAGAGGAGTACAATTTGCCTACAAGCACACTCATCACGCGTAACGCGGAAATACTTCGTTTAATAAGTGTTATTTCAAAAGATTTTTAAGTATAGTATAGAGTCATCAATTTTACAGTTATTTTTTGTATGTTTTAGATAACTGAATGCATAAACAAGCTGGTGATTAATATACCAGTGGTGACTTATACGCATTTCGATTTCAACAAGTCTATCTTGTATCCTAGCATCACATTTTGCAGAGAGCCTGCTTATAAGTACGACAAGCTACTGGTAAGTATGAAGATAAAAAGTAAATTGAAATAAAACATACAATATTACTGTCTCTTCCCTCCACATATATATGTTATATCTTTTCTCTCTATCTAGTAACGAAATGGGCTTACATCACGCTAATTTAAAATACTTATTAATATTATAAATGCGCATGTTAGATGGATGGATGGATGTTTGTTTGAATGTATCTACACAACGGCTGAACGGATCTCGATCAAATTTGGAATACATATAGAATATATTCTGGAAGGACATATAGGTTACTAATTATGTTTATTTTAATTTAGCGTGGACGAATTCACGGGCGACAGCTAGTACTTATGTAAAAATATTCCGTCATACGTGTTAATTTATTTAAAGTATACTATTTTTAATACAATGGCAGTGAGATTTCTTGTTGAGAAATTGTATTGGATTGTTTCTAGGACTACGGTTTATACTCCCATCCTCGATTCACGTCAACTTGGATGCAATTCAACTTCTCTGTCAACCTCGAACACCTTTGGGATGAGATCACGTACAATGAAGGAGAATTCTTCGTCCAGTACGGCCTTGACGGATTAGCGGAAAGTATGGAAATAAATGTCCGTTATTTTTCAAAATTCGAATTTATCATATTTTTAAATTTCGAACGGATAGAACGCTATCTCTATCTATAAACGTAAATAAGAAAAAGAGAGAATTATTACAAAAGTTGGGGATTCTGATTGTGACACATTCTTTATGAATGAAAATAAAATAATTAACTTCCCGATCTTCTTTAAGCATCAATCGTTAAATAAACATAAAAATCAAACGATTGCGCAATAAAACTAAATCAAAGGATTTGCGTTAAAAATTTACGAGTCGTGAATATGTCTAATGAAATTATACTTTAAAAGAAAATGCATCTCTTTCTATTGATAACATACTTACTAATGTATGTATGGAGTTAAATTTAGTAAAGTTATAGAGGGTTTCTGAACCCAAAATCCAGGAGTAACGTTATTTGTTATACAAAGTTCTAGCTGTCTTAGAAATCGACGATTAACAGATTAGGCTTACAATAAGGACTATGATTATTTTTATATCGTTTTCTATTTCCAGCTTATCAATATTAAAAATAACCACCAGATCCTTTAATTATCACAGACGTAGAAGTAACCTCAACTCTGGGATTTATGACGGGGCGCTGCTTCACACTGTCTCCCAAAGTGCAGCTGCGACAGGCGTCTAAGGCCACGGGGTATTCCATCACTCTCCAACATCGAGACCTGGATATTGCCACCAGCACCGGCATCTGTCCTCCAGGGTACCACGTCTACGTACACTATACCCGTGAGCCATTCACTGGTCAGTACCAACGAGCATAATAAAGATACATAGATATTAACCAGTATTGTGGCAAGATTTCTTTTTTGAAGAAAAGCAAAAAACAAAGTTAAAAAAAAACTAAGTTAAATATTATTTTATAGTGATCGTATATTTTAATTAAGTTGTATGTATGGTAAACTATACAAAATGAACATAAGTGTTAATAAAAATAATTAACTTAACTACATCAGGAGCGCTGTTCGATAGTATTAAACTTTAAAAATTTAGACGAAATCAGAATCTATGTTCTTTTGTGTTGATTAAAAACCATGACCATAGCAACTTTTACTTCTACTATATCGAGTCGTAACCCTCTTCCTTATAACACGGTACTCTTGTGATGCATAAAAACGCACTTACCATATAACCGGGGACACATTAACAGTGTTATAGAGGGACTTCTTTTTCTGAAAATTACCTATAGAATAACACAGGAGTTAAATTTACTTTTATACCTCCTCCTATGTCACATCCAGAAGTAGAAGTATACAACGGCGGATTAGTGGATTACCTGTACATCAACGCGGGTGAAGCGGTCGACGCCAAGCTGACTGTGGATGAGTACGTCAAATTGCCCAAAGATGATGATCCTTGCACGTATTTAAGCAATTATAGTGCTAATTATGTAAGTTATAGATTTAAAATTATTATTCACTACCTGCCCGCGACTCCGTGCTATGTTCTACATCTGTGCCAAATTTCAGCGAGATCAATGCAGCCGTTCTAGCATGATCCATGATACCTTCAAAGGAACATCCATCCATCCATCCATCCATTCGTCATCATCAGCTCACTATACGTCCCCACCGAGGGGCTCGGAGCCTACCCTAAGTTAAGGGTGATTAGGCCATAGTCAACCACGCTGGCCAAGTGCGGGTTGACTTCACACATATCTTTGAATTTCTTCTCAGATATATGTAGGTTGCATCACGATGTTTTCCTTTACCGTAAGAACGTCGGATAAATGTACATATGTAAATCGGAAATCGAAAAACACATTGGTACATGGCGGGATTCGAACCCAGGACCTGCAGATTGCAAGTCAAGTGCTTGACCACTGAGCCACCGACGCTCCTATCCATCCATTCAAACGTTCGCATTTATATTATTTTTAAGATATATTTTGAAAAGATGAAGTAGTTAAAAAGTACCGTAATTTGAGAGTTTGTAACTATAAACCGTTATAATATGTGATTAGCCAAGGTTTAAGTAAAAATTCTATAAAATATTCTTAATTCTTCTGTTAGTGTACAACGCAGTTCGTATGGAGCCATGTAGAGACCGTTGTTGGATGTTCTGGACCATGGATGAGGAGTAGCCTACCTCGCTGCAGCAACTACACCGCCATGAGGAACCTTATCAGAGCTTACATCAAGTAAAACTTGCCAATGCTTTCAAAATCTTACCAAAACTAACTTATCAAATCTTTAATTCTATTTTTTTTCCTTTTTGCAACAGCATTTATTAATTTCTTACTAAAAGATGGGTTAAGTAGGTAGGGACAACAAAAGTAACGTCTGAGAGATTTATACGAATTACCGGCCAAGACGAACCTAATTGGCCGACCATACATAGAGTGGGATAAAGACAAAGATGAAGAGAGAGATGATAATAATGATGGTATTTCGTTATTCTTTCTGGATACTTCCTTCTATAATATACCTTTATTTTCTAGCACGTACAAAGACCACGATTGCGAAGCTTGTCCTAGATTCTGCAGGTCTTATCTGTACAACGCATTCGTGACAGACAGACAGAGTTTCTACGTGTGGGATGTTTCTAATAAATTGTGGAGCTTGAAGAGTGGTTACACTCCATTACAGTCACAGGTATAAAGTAACCTACTAATACATCTTTGTTTTGATACTAATTAAAGTCAGCAAGAGGCCATCTAATTTCGATAAGTAGCGAAGCAACCGCTAAACATCATCTCCAACTAGTTCTGTCTTAAATGGACAGAGGAGAGGACATAAAGAGGATACTTCCTTTCCATGCATCCTCTCATCCGGAAAGTCCACTTCCACTTCCCATCCTTTCCTTATAAGAAAAAGGTGGGAAGGGAAAGAGGACTAAATTAGGCCTCCGGGACGCACACTCATCAGACGAAACGCGGAATTTCTTCCATTTCACGCCTGTTTTCTGTGTGGAGGTGGTATTTCACCGGGCGAACCTGGCCAATTCGTGCAAAGATGTTAAAGCGGGTTCTACCACTCTTAAAAACCTTTAAATCATTTTCTTTCAGCTGTATATTCACTTCAACAGTATGATGGTGTCAGTGTACGAGGAGAGACATAACTATGATTGGAACATTTTCCTGTCGGACCTCGGCGGGAATATTGTGAGTACTACTCGTGTACTATAACAAACGATATCTTGATGAATAACATCAGAGGTTACGTGTCAACTAGGAGCATTGTTCATTGGTTTGCTCGTAACTTCCTGCCTCGCACAGCAGCGTTGGTTTGGGATGGTCTGTCCTCGGGGGTATTTCCAAACCGCTTCTTAGGGTCCTTCAAGAAGCGAGCGTATCACCATCTCAAAGGCCGGCAACGTGTCTGCGGTTCCTCTGGTATTGCTGATGTCCATGGGTGTTGAACACCTCGGTGTTCCCGCTGCTCGTTTGCCCCCTTCTGTTATAAAAAAAAAGTCGTAAATTATCCTTTTTAAACGCGACAATGGAAACCTACGCTTAAATCGTGTAATTTCATACACCTGACGTAGCTGGTGTTCGGTAATTCATGCAGACGGTAAATATTTCGATGGTTACCATTGATTGCAAATATTCTGGCGAACAGCCAAACCTCACAGCGAAGTTTTAAGGTTTATGAATAGCTTCTTTTAAGGTTATGCACGTCAAATATCTTACTAATATTATACGAGTAAATGCCAAAGTTTGGACGGATGTTTATTTTTAATAACAGACAATTATTCAAAGACATTAGCATTGCAATGCAATGCAATCGCAAGCACTTGGCCTAGTGTGGTTGACAATGGCCTTGTCACCCCTGATTAGGTAGGCTCAAAGCCCCTCAATGGGGACGTATGAACTGATGATGATGATGGATATTTGTTATCTTGTAACACCAGAATATCTGAACTGATCTGAATAAAATTTTCATCAGATATTAATTACGTTCTGCCATAATGCCTTAGCTTTTATGAATTTAATTTTTAATATTCTTTGAATTAGACAACCATCAGATAAATCTAACCAGAGAAACTTCTTCACATTTTTATACCTGTCAATCAATCTCGTTTGCGTCAAACTTTGGCAAGAAGTAATAAAATTTCTTATATTTGGTCATGCAGTACCACTTCCGTTCTGATATTGTTCCAATTTATTGTCAGAAATAGACATGTCTTGATTTAATACGAAGTTAGGAACAAATAATTTAAACTTTAAAACACGATTTTTTTATAATATCTAGAATTGGTTGTTATATTTTAGTTTTATTTTAGAAAATTATAAATTAGTAAACTGGATCTAAAGTGGTCCGTAGCATTTTTGGCTAAATCCATCTATGACCATCTTTGCACATAAAAACGATAAATAAATCTGGGCTATATCTATTTATTCTATCTATATAACACTCATAAGTTCAGTATTTATGTGCTAAAATTATAATAAATGAAGTTCTTTTTTTAAAGAACATATAATTATATACCAATTTGTCTTTGCCGTAGTAACTACATAAATGATAACATTAACCTTAAAGTTTAAAATTATCAGGGATTCCTCCTTGGTCTTTCCGTCATCAGTCTCATGTCGATCCTCGGCAGTATCTGGTTCGAGATCATCAGACCTTTCATCATCAGGAAGAAGATCAAGAAAGATATATTAAGTGTGACCAGCTCCACTCCCACTACTGATGTGGCGGTTATCTACAATAATTCAATTGAGAAGTATTTTGATTGTAAGAAATAATTTTTATTATAAAAAACGTGAAATTCATATGTGATGAATATATTTTATGAAGCAATTTTACTGTTTTTTATTTAATTGGTAATTTAAGCAAGTATTCTGAGTATCGAAGAATACTTATTTCAATATTTCGACGATCTCTTACTTTAATTTTCTCTCATTGACTGGAGTTTACTTTAACAGTGGTAGACGTCAGCAACATTAGTTGAAAGAATAGGCTGTCTTGCTCGGTTCAATACCGAAGCAATTCCGAAATTCGTCTGTTGAGTATGCGTGCCGGAGGTCTAATTTTACTCTTCTTTTCCTTCTCACCCTTTTCTTATAAGGAACGCATGGGACGGGGAAACATTCTGTGTACCTTCTCCTCCGATTACAGGTAGGCAACGCATCTGCAATTGGGGATGTCTATGAGCAGCGATTGCTTCACCATTTCAGTTAATTCATGTAACAATTCGCTTGTTTGCCATCTTAAAATATATAAAAATTACGATATGACTTGGTAAGGATATAAACACTTTAAATTCCTAAACATATTAACGATAGATCTTCGATCTCGTGTAGATTTTCAGCGCACTCATTGACGTAAGCTGACGGCATTACAATAAATCTGTAACAAGACTTATGCGTGTAACACACAGACGCGAAAGCGAAGCTAATAATATGAAACTGCCATGAATTGTGTTCGTGCCAGCGAACTGTTTAATCTTACTGAGAGACACCGAATTGTGAAGCAAACTCTGCGTTAAATCATCGCGTTTAGATGAAAGCTTCGCTTCGCTTCTGGATCGCTTTCACGGCTGTGTACAAAAGGCTTTGTCTAAAGCGATGCGAAGTTCGGAATGTATTATCGTTTGGATACGTTGAATGCTCCGAAATACGTCATACATCCTCTTCCTGTTTGAATTTATTTAGTTAATTGAATTAAATGCAGGTGTGCATTTTTATAAATAGACGTTTTAACGATCGTAAGAGTTTTTACCTAGACTCACATAACTAGAAAAAAAAATTGTCGTTTTACATCTTTTATTCTCCATGCAAAAATTGTTACAAAAATATGAAATTATCCGTTCCACTAACAAACAATTTAAAATTATCTAATATTATAAATGCGAATTTTTAGAGTAGAGTTTGTTCGTTATCTCTAGAACGGTCGGACGGATTTCGATGTGATTTGACATACATATAGAACATAGTCTTGAAGAACATATAGGCCACTAAATTTTAATTCCGCGAGGACGGAGACGCGGGCACCAGCTAGTTATTTAATATTTCAACAATTCAGTTACAGTGGTAATCTTGATTTACGTCCAAGGTATTCATAAAATCGTACTAACAAACTTCTTGTGCTATAAAAATCTTAAATAGAAATATGTAGGTTATTAGTAAACGTAAGCCCAGCCAATCTAAATATAGTAAAGGGCCGACAAGGAAGCGAGGCCGCGTCATTTCACAAACTATATTTTTACAGTCGCAAGTGAATCAGACTATGCTATTTACAGTAGGAACTATCCATGTAGATGTGTGTCAACGTTTCTTGTTTGTAAAGTAGGTTTCCACTGTCCATATGTACAGAAACTTATTTTTATATAGTTATTTCAGCTTTATTATTATATTTTCAAAGCGTCAATAGCCTTATGGTTAAGGTTACGGATTTCCGACCACGAGGTCGGGGGTTCGAATCCCGCCATTCGACTATTGTCGTAAACCATATCCTAGCACAAGCCTAGAGCTTAGTTGGAATGGTTAAAGAAATATTAGTAAATTTACAAAAAAATCTGCTAATATTTTTCACAAAAAAAAAAATAAAAAAAAATATCAAAGAGAATGAAAGGGATAGGAATATGTTTTATATAACGTATTGGGAGGAAAAACAAAGATTTTTTGCTTTGCAAGAAAAGTAGATGACAACTGTTGTGCTATTTCATTCATTGTTTGAAGAATTATGAAGATTAATGAATTTACGAAAAAAATTAAAAAAAAAATCTGATTCAAAAGAAACTTGTCGGTTTCTTGTTCAAAACAAGTTATACCTAAATAAAAAAGCCAGATTAGTTAATTAAGTAATAAAAATAGGTTGTCACTTAATTAAAGTTTTTCCTAATAGTAGCTTTAAGTTGCTACGTAAGCTACGGGAACAGCGTAGCATTTTGCGCGTAGCATGTATCTTTTGAAATATTTTGACCGCTCTACCATTTGTAGTACGTAACGTATAAAAGTGTTGATTTATAATTAATTAACGTTAGTTAATTTATCAATTAAGTATACTGACAGTTGGTTTACATGTCTTGAAGTATGTTCAACTAAAAATACCCACTAATTAGAACAAAACTACTTAGTTTTAAATTATTAAGTGGGTTTCTAAAACCAAAATTTCCATTTAACACATCTTTGTATTGTCAAAAGACAGGAATGACGATATGTTTTAAAGATTTCGGTCTCAGAAACCCACGGTAAGTTCTTTATTCGCGTAGTTCTATCATCTAATGATAGAAGTAGTTTATTCCAAATTGTATCACAAGTATATAGAGATAGAGTTCAATTTTGTCAAATGTACCGATATTTTTGCGCACCTTGACTGCTTCGTTACTTATGACGCTGTGGCTGCTACGATATTTATGAGCATCTTGCATGTACTCATATATTTGACGCTGTGTATGTACCGATGTATTTGAGCAGGGTGAATGTATCTATTATTTTGAGGACTTTTGTTGTACCGATATAATTGATTACTTTTGCTGTACCTATATATTTGCATATCTTGTCTGTTACGATCTATATGACGCTGACTGTACTGTACGTAATCCGACTGACCTATGTATCTTTGCAAGGTGTAATCTTTGTTTGTATTGCAGAATTGGCATTTCATTGTAGTTACGTCTTATTTGTAAAAGCGTTGAATTTAATATTCACAATTTCCAGATATGTTAAATATGGTACGCATTTATACAAAAATAGCTGTCGCCAGTGACTATGTCCGCACAGATTTAAAAATAAACGTAATAATTAGCCTATTTGTTCTTACAGACTATGTTCTATATGTTTATGTAAATAAAAATCCGTTGACACGTTGCGAAGATACTTTCAAGTAAACATCCATCCATCATTCTAAACAATCGCATTCATAATATAAGATAACCAATGAACTATGAACTGTTAGGAAGAAAATCCGACACTGTGCCGGTGCATAGTGTGCAGTACAAGTACTGGCGCAACACTAGCCTTATTAAAATGTCAACGTGTACGTCCCCTCACCGTCGCTTAGCAACGGGCCGCGTCCGCGAAATAATACCAGTACCACTCATCCTGATGAATGCCTAGTCGGTGCCACCACCGTACGATTATACGTGACTATTTAGCCGTGTTTATATATCAGTTTAGTATAATGTCTTACGAAAGTTTGAATAATTTAGTCACTGATTATTCTGACACTTTACTTGGTAACGAAAGCACGCCATTCACTCTAAATGGTTCAAACTAATAATGTCTAAACGAACATACTTTTTAATCCCCTTCAATTTAAATTAATGTCAATTATGGTGACAAGACAACAGGTGGGGTGCTATTTAAAGTCTGTGCCAAAAGCTGGAGCGACTCCAGATGGTCTGTAGTCACCTGTACATAACGCTGAGTCATCGGTACATTATATACTAATTGAGTACACAAGTTGTCTTTTATAACAAAATAAATAGAGTGTGACTGGCCATTGGATTATAATTTTAAACTGATTTAAAAAAGATGGAGGTACTCATTGTATGTATTTGTGTAGTCTGCCTCGGTGTTTAGAGGGTTACTCTGTAGTTAACCATGTCCTAGCTTCCAGCTTATCTGGAATTGTAAAAACAAACGTGTTTAAAAAAAATCCGAAATGTTGTAATTTTTCTTATAAATTGAAGATAGATAGATAAAATAGATAAAGCCTTTATTCACTGACAATTATTAAACTTAATATTACAATGTTGGCAAACTTATTTTCTAGTAATTAACCTATGTTAAATGTATGTGTAATCGATTGCCCAGCATCCCGTTGCGTGTCAGGTTGTCCCTTGACATAGGCCACCCTTAGTCTCTTCCACACCTCTCTATCGCGCGCTAATGTTCGCCATCCCTTGGGTAAGTCGTAAATTGAAACTAATATTTAAATATATGTTTGTCTATGGAAAATAAAATTATTATTACTTTAATTATAGGCCATATTACAAACTTATCCGCCCTAAGTCCATTGTAATTGGATCTAATGGTAAATCCGTCTCTGTCTTTTTTTCGTTTTTTAATCTTTTCATCCTGTGATATTATTTACTTAAATATATGATAATTTTAGTACTTAAAAGTATAATTTAAAACATAATTAATGTGGTCGTAAATATTATTTAGTTATAGCACGTCATCGTTTGTCAAGTCGAGTGCCAATCTAGATAACTAACGAGTCTACGAGACTATGATAAAAGATAAAAAAAATATTCCTTTGAAATTCTAAAATGTATTCAATATACTCTTTATCGTAAGAAGGGTTACATTTTAAATTTGTTGAAGTTTGTCCGGTGAGATTTTATACAGAGTTAGTGACAATCATTTATTTTTAAATACTAGCAGTCGCCCGCGGTTTCGTCCGCGCTGAATTAACAAAAAACTTAATTACTAGCTTATGTTCTCTTTTAGACTATGTTATACATCTATTCCAAATTTCATCAAGATCCATGCAGCCGTTCTGAAGATATCTTAGTAAGAAAGTTTATGATATTAGTTTGTTTTTTATGGAATTAAGATGTTTCTAGAAAACTCTTAATTCAACCTTTGCTTTAACATTTCGTTCTTTTCAGTTTTAAACATTTGACATAACACTCTGACATTTTAATAAATTCATTCGAAAAGGTGTTGTTGATTTAACACCGAATAATATACGACTAAGAAAAAATTGCTAATCAAAATTCAATTCTATACCATAACCAATAAATACAAATTACCTTGCAGCTGTAAACGAAACATATGCAATTGAAATTGAACTT